TATGGAGACACATTTCTTCTGTAGTAACAACATGTAGTCAAAGGCTAAAACTGCCTTGGTAGTTTTGTAGTGGATTGCCTCAAGTGCAGGAGAATATTCGTTCAATCACCAGCCTGGTCAATTATAAGACTTTAAAATTGGTATTTGCTACTTCACAGTTTGCACCCAGCATTTAGGAGAAAGGCAAAGACTTGTCGACTGGAAGTTAGTCCTGTAAGTGTGACATGTCTTCCTGCAGACTATCACCTTCTAAAGACTGAACTAGCAATATTGAAAATCCAGCTTGGCATGTAGGCCTAGTACAAAGCAGAGTTCATATTGATATACATCACATTAACATGTATTGTCCTAATATGCATGTGATATTTTCCATTGGACTTTAAATCACAAATCCATCAATCAGTTGGAGGCTGAGAAAGCCAGTGTTCCTATATCAAAAAATTGCTAGACTCTTGTATAGCCTCAAGTAATGAAATTCAATGTTATTATTGCTACAGGATGTTTGGAGAGGGCTTATTTTTAACTTCCTATTTGTATTTAAATGACATCCCTTACCCTAACGTTCTTTAAGGAGAAGGAGCTATCTTATCTTTACACCCAAAACATACCTGTAAAACTTATCCAATGCAAAAAAAAATAATAATTTTTTGAGAACAGAAACTTCCTGGATGATTATCAAATGTAAATACATGTAGACACTAAGAAGATTTGTACTTCACATCAGACATGCAAAAGATAAATTATTTAAATAACGGTATTGTCATAACATCTCTGGTATTTCGTGATTTCAGTCCAATATAACCTTGTTATACCACGACAGACTGATTAAATAGAATGGTTAAACATGTCTAAAATTTTTATGTGGGTTGCATGAATAATGTTGGAATGTTTGACTAAAATATAACTTATATAAATTAATGACAATTAAAGAATTTTTTAAAACACCAATTTGGCAGTATATCAACTTATCCTAACTAAAGATTAAAAGTTCGGAAACTTTGCCTGTAAAATAAATATGAGATGTATTATATTTGTAAACGTAATTGAAATTCTTTGTGAATAGAAATTAAAATGTTTGTATATTTTACCTATTGCTTATTAGAAGTTACAAGTTTTATTTGATATATTTTCAATTCACTTTTTTAATATTTTCTGTATACATTTATGTAGATACTACAAAAGGTTTGAACTTGAAAATGTCATATTCATAATTTATTATACTTTGTTATTTACATAGAAATAACATTATTATCTGTATACAGTCATGACTATTAGTATACAACATATTTTTGTTTTTGTTGATTATTATTAATCATATGATTTTTACCATTTTTTTTGTTCATTTAGAATAGACTTGTACAACCCTATGATGATGTAAATGGAGCTCAGCTACTTTTGGGTGATTGCTTGCTTAATTAGATAATAGAAGATGTGGTATGAGTGCCAATGAGACAACTCTCCATCCAAGTCAAAATTTATAAAAGTAAACCATTATCATGATTATAGGTCAAAGTACGGTCTTCAACACGGAGCCTTGGCTCACACCTAACAGCAAGCTATAAAGGGCCCCAAAAATTACTAGTGGAGAACCAACAGTCTAATCTATATAAAAAACGAGAAACAAGAAACACTTATGAACCACATCAACAAACGACACATACTGAACTTCAGAATCCTGACTTAGGACAGGTGCAAACAATTGCAGGGGGTTTAAAAGTTTTGATGGTACCAAACCTTCACCCTTATCTGAAACAATAGTGTAACATCACAACATAGAAAGACACACTATAAAATATCAATTGAAATGGCTTAACTCAATCAAAAGACATATTAACACCAGTGAACATACACTGAACAAATAAATTTGTTAATACAAAATGAATAAACTAAGGGAAGAATATTTAAAGTAACATGTTACCTGTATCCAGTAGCAAATATTTCTTGAATCACATAATCGCATAGAACAATAAACAAACCCGAAGGTTATGTATACTGTATAAATCAAACTGATTTGAGAGATTTATTTTTTCATGACTTTTGAAAGTAGAAAATAACACAAATCTAAAAATCTCTCGAAACAATTACCATTGGATAATATAGATATTCCTGAATAAGTCCAGGCACTTTTCAAATGAAGGTGTGGGTTCAACCAGGTTTTATGGTGCTCCAAAGTTTTAAACCTATTTAGACACATATCTTTCATGAATATTTCTTTAAGTAATAAAGCTTTATTGCAATTAACTGAAGAAAAAAATCCTGAATTGATTTGCACTTTGCATACACATGCAGTGGTTTAATCCATCATTGTTTTGTGATATCAAGTCTTTCAATTCTTCAATGTTTTGGGGTATGAAGTGGTAAACAGATTTGCACATAAAAATACATTATTGTAGTAAATAAACAATTTTTTAAGACTGTTTCAGCCACTGGCCTTCTTCAGTTTCTTTATTATCCTTCTTCACTACATTGTGTACATTTTACTAAGAAGGATAATAAAGAAACTTAAGAAGGCCAGTGGCTGAAACGTCTTAAAAAATTGTTTATTTACTACAATAATGTAATATATATTCCCTAATAGAATTTTGAAACAAGAACATATAACTTTGACCTATAATGGTTTACTTTTATAAATTTTGACTTGGATGGAGAGTTGTCTCATTGGCACTCATACCACGTCTTCTTATATCTTTATAAATATAACCAAGAACCATGAAAGTTCAGCAGTTACATGGTAACATACTGAATGTACAAAAATGGTACAACCATGGATTAGTATTATACATGTTAAATTGACAATATAATACTTCCATGGTATAACATAGTTGCAAGTACCCATTGTCATTCATCAAGTATATAATATGAAATAATACACCAAATAAGCTATCTGTATGTATGTATTAAAAGTTAATTTGATATGCATTTTCGACTCCTTATAGACAAAATGCAATAAATGTAGCAATTTGTCAATCATTTTGTTACGTTGGTGTGTAATTTCATTCATTCATAAGAATATGATTGTAATAGAGCAGATGTGTCATCTTCGTGTGATTGTTGTAAAACTTGGTATTGTTCCAATTTCTGATTGGTCTCTAAGGTTTAGCTTCATCACCTCATGCATAAAATATGTTGTTGCAACTACTTAGTGCAGTTGTCTAATCTGGAGAGGAAATTTCAGCATACTTCTTTGCATTAATTTCTTCTTTCACTCATACCCACATCTGAACATTTTTAGGGAGACCCTCTTTTCTAAAATTTTGTGCATTTGTTTGTAGACACATTTTGTAGTTATTTCTATTTCAAAATTTGGAACATTAAATATTCATAATACTTCTGGATACCACTAGGAGGCCTTGTTGATTTTAGGTCAAAAGGTCAAGGCTTAAAATACAGCACCTAGATTTAAAAATGTTTGTGAACACTTCCTTGAGATAATTTTTGACACACAATCTCAAAACTTACAAGATACATGGTGAAAAACTGTTTTATAAGATACTCAAAGATACCTATATATTCAAAATGTGGATTTAGACCAGCCTTTTAAGTATAGACTACAAATCTTCCAATCAGGCATTTGAACTAAGCAAGTTGACTACAAATAAACCTTTATGTTTTATTATCTTAATTTTCACATGAGGGATATAAGTTGATGGGCCATAAAATGTTACTGTATAGTCCTATAGAAATAATTTTGGCAAACTGAAGAGTAGTCTCAGCTGTACTATTTAGACAGCTAGCAGCCGTTATGGGAAACAGTTGCTCCCGCACTTTTTAGTGTTACACCCCTACGCCTGTGAGTCTACATACTTTTGATAGACATTGAATTTTAAGTGTAACATGCAATATAGTTGATCTCCATTACTAATTCTTGATTTCATAAATAGTCTTTTTTACACCCCCAGGACTTGTGTTTAGGTTTAATATGATAGTTTGTATATTTATATTTACATTTCAGTTCAGTAGTTCATTGCCACCATCTTACATCATGTAAAGAATTTTAAATATTAAAACTAATAAGTTATTATATTGAATTTTGTCAGCATGTCAATATTGAAAAATAAATATATTAATAATATCAGCAGGAATACAGTTTATGTGAAGATTTTGATGGGGATTATATCAAAAGAAGTGTCAGAAACGATGTAGTTAATTTGTCTGTAGTCTTCATTAAAGTAGTCTACCAATGTTCTAGATTGAACACAGCTGATTTCACTGACAAATTTGATAATCAAAAAGGAGTGATGGGAATTATTTTTCCCTTAAACTCAGTCTTACACAGAATCACTAAAATTCTGGGCTTTCTAAGTTTGGTTGGGAAATTAGATATGTTGAAGTATCTTGAAAAAGCTTACCTAGAGTTCAAGCAAAAAAAATGAAATGCAAGCAATGATAAAATTAAAAGGACAGAAAAAAAAATGAAAATTAAGTAGAAATAGGATCATAAATATCATAAATTTTATATATATAAAAAAAGAAAGCCAAAAATTAGTAAGGCAACAAAATATTAAAGAGGTGCCACATGTGGAGCAGGATCTGCTTACCTCTCAGGAGCACCTGAGATCACCCCTGGTTTTTGGTGGTGTTCGTCCATGTGTTCCTCAGTCTTTAATTTTCTATGTTGTGTTATGTATACTGTTGTTTGTCTTTTGGTCATCTTTTGGATTTTTTGCCATGGTGTCATTGACTAATGAGTTTGAATGTCCCTGTGGTATTTTCCACCCTTCTTTTTAAACTTTACTGACTGTTTATATTTATGGATTAATTTTAATTAGCATCTACATAAAAAAAAGAAGGTACCAAGAGGGCAATAAAAAATCATGATTAAGTAAAACAGATAACACCATGGCCAAAAGATATTAGACACACAGCCAAACAACAGTCTACAAAATACTACACAGAAAACTAAAGATTGAGTCACACTCACTTAAAATTATGATATATGCTGTCTTTAGACAATCTGATGTAGGACAATGTAATAACATTATTTCTAATTTTATTTTCAGTAAAAAGGAAGAATTCAGTAACAGGAAAAGATATACAAATAGTCACAGAAAATGATGTAAGTAACTGATGAGTACAGTGATCAGTTTAGGCATAAATATAAAAATCAATTTCAACTGAAAAATGGAGATGATAGGCTATTGTAATTTGTTTTCCAAGTCTTGCATTGTTGCCAATAGAACAGTGAATGGAAACGGGGAATGTTTCAAAGAGACAACAACCCAACCAAAGAGCAGAAAACAGCCCAAGGCCACCAATGTGTCTTCAAAGCAGCGAGAAAACTTGCACCAGGAAGCCCTAAACAATAATGTATACCTGATCAGCGAAAATGGACGCCACGCTAAACTTCGAAACATACAAATGAACCAAAATAAAAAAAACACACCAGACTAACAAAGGCTAGAGGTTCCTGACTTGGGACAGGCACAAAAATGCAGCAGGGTTAAACATGTTTTGTAAGCCCTATGCCTCTAGCCAATGTGGAATAAACAAACACACAGCAATAATCACAGTAAAATTGTTTGATTACTATTCATAACCATTAATGTTCAAATTAAAGCTGTTAAATCTCCCAATGAGTTAAGAAAGCAGTGGTGAATAAATTTTAGCTGATTCTTAAATTAAGATCTTAATATATTTTAAATGTTTGTTCAATCTAAAATTAATGAGAAAATATAAGTTTTAAAAATCTCACCCTGCAAGACACAGTGAAAACCAGTTAAGTATGCTGACTACAATACTGAATTGTTGGCAGTAAGTAAACATGTAGAAGATAACCCTTCCAGAATACTTGACTTCACACTTGATTTTTCAGGATTCAAGTACTCATTCTTTAGTATTTAAACATGTAATGTTTTGTGGACTCTCTGTCTTTTCATCTTTTTATGCCTTTGCGACAAAATGTCAAGGGGCATAATAATTTACCCCTGTCCGTCCGTCTGTCCATTCGTCTGTTCGTCCATCCGTCCGGATTAGGATACATTGTTTGTCCAGTTATCTATCTCCTACAGTTTTGGAGGTACAACTTTAATATTTTGTAGGATGTTCATACACATAATGAAGGTGTGCATGGCCACAGGATTTTGATTTTTTTCAAATATTCTGAAAATGACAGGTAGTTGGACTTAGTCATTTTTATGCCCCACCTACGATAGTAGAGGGGCCTTATGTTTTTCAGTCTGTGTGTCCGTCCATTTGTCCGTCTGTCCCGCTTCAGGTTAAAAATTTTGGTCAAGGTAGCTTAAAGTTTTTGGTCAAGGTAGTTTTTGATGAAGTTGAAGTCCAATCAACTTGAAACTTAATACACATGTTCCCTATGATGTGATCTTTCTATTTTTAATGCCAAATTAGAGTTTTGACCCCAATTTTACGGTCCACTGAACATAGAAAATGATAGTGCGAGCGGGGCATCCGTGTACTATAGACACATTCTTGTTTTGGTACAAGCTGCATGAAGAGATCATGGTTTGTCAAGCTATCTCCTCCTACAGTTTTGGAGATACAGCTTTAATATTTTGTAGGATGTTCATACATATAATGGAGGTGTGCATGGCCATAGGATTTTGATTTCTTTTAAATATTCTGAAAATGACAGGTAGCTGGACTTAGTCATTTTTTTGGTACTAGCTGCATAAAGAGATCATGGTTTGTCCGGCAATCTCCTCCTACAGTTACATCATCATACATAGTGTTAAATTTATAATTTCCTATGGTCAGGCGGGGGCATCATTTATTTCTTACAGACAGCGTAACAATTTCAAGTTGTATGACAACATCACTGTTTGTCAAATCTAAAATATGTGGAACTATACTCATGCATATGGCAGAGCAGAAAAGGGGGTGGGGGGGGGGGGGGCATTCTCCATATCTAGTTTACTTTTGACTTGGGTGTTGCCTCCTTCAACTTAAGATTTTGATAGCACACTCTGTATTTTCTTTAATTTTCGTTTTTTTTTTATGATAATAAACAAATAATATTGTATATGGGAATGGTTCAATATGTATGAAAAAATAAACGTAGGGCTTATTGTCGATTTTAGTTATTCATAGTTTAGACTGTGTAGCGAGGATTAGGATTATCTCTTTGCTATATGACTAAGTAACGTTCTTGGACCTTAATAAGATTATCCTGATCCAGTTATAACTAATTATAACTTATTGTGCTCTGTTGACGAATTCTAAAGACTCGTTACAGCTGCTACAAGCGGATTATTTCTTGTTGATCTCTACATGTCTATCGTTTTTCCTGTGTGACTTTCAAATGCATTGTGTATTATTGAGGGTTTTAGTTGGCAGTTAGTGAAGTACATTGTATTTCAGATGAACTCTCTGATAAAATTTTGGCATGTGTGTGACGGGAGAGATTTCGATTAGATTTAAAGGAGTATTGAGCTATAACACTCATGTATTAAAAGTTTAGATGAATATTTCATCAAAAATGAAAAACGAATCAGATATATATACTAAAGGATATTTTTGGTTCTACAATTTTGAATGCATATTCCGCAAGAATGTTAAAGTTGTTTTCAAAAAGAAAAAAAATTAACTGAGACTATTCCCATGATTATACAAGATTCTTATAACTTTTCATTATAGTCAGAATACTGTATTACATGTACAAATTACAGGTACAGCAAAATTGTAAAAAGCAATCCAGATTCAATAATCAGCGTAGAAAGGCAATAGGTCAAATTGTTAACACTTGTGTAGTTGTTTGAAGCTTCATAGTTATGAGGTCTTGTCTGAGTCTTTTTAAGCATGGTGAGAAGACTACTATTTTCCTTTTAGGATCCAACCTGCCACAATATGAAAGAATTATATAATCTTTGGACATTTTCAGCTAAAATTTAGGGGCCCAGTCCCAAAATTTAGTATCATTGACTACTGGCCCTCTGCTAAGCCCTGATGTAATGGTCATCAATTTGTAGGTAGATACTGTCCCCTTGCATCTCGATGACTGACCATTTGAAGTGGTAATCTAGTTAGATACTGTTTCCTGTGTGCTTTTAGTATAATTTGTTTTGATGCTGAACTTTAGGTCAATATATGCTCTCAATTCTGGATACATGTACCAGTACTAACTTTTCTGTGGATCAGCATATTGTTTTTTACTCAACAACGGAAGAAAAAATTTTTTTTTTTTGGTATTTGATATGCTCAGGGTCAAGGAAAGAAAAGAAATGTTGCTAGACAAATTTTGTTTATTTGTAATCCATATTTATACAATTAATCAGAAACTGCAATGTTTCGTGACTGTGTAAGACCCACGCCAAAAAGATGGAAGGATTTGATAGTATTCTACCATAACAGCCTTGATAGATTGAAATTTCATATAGGGAAATTAATGATGAACCATTCAAAATGAATTTGACCTGAACCTTCAAATTCCTTCAGTTCACTGATGTAATGAAAATTAGATTGAAATGCTGATTTAAAAGTTAAAATGTTTGTATTCACTTACAGTTAAAAAAATTACCTCTTTATACACAGAATGAAATTCAAAGATTTAATAAAGAGATTTGGACTATTGATGGTAGACCATTTCCTGTTTAAAGATAATGTAGAATATCATTAGTAAAGTCCATTTTTGTGGGTTACAAAGATTTCTTTGAAGCTTTTGTCATCATATGTTCTGTATGTGCATCCTAAATGTGGTATTCAAAGTGTAGAATAATCATATAAATGTACCGGAAGACAGATATTTGATATGAAGCTGCATTAAACAATATGTAGTTGAAGTATAAAAAAATAATATTATGTAGAATATAAATTAAAAAAAATATTTATGCGGCTTTAGACAGTGTAAGGATTAAAAATAAATGTAAAAATTGTTACATGGAGTCTTTGACCCATTGTTTGGTAAAGTCAAACTGAAACATTTTTACAATAGGCCAACAGGCTTGTGGTTAATCTTGAAAGACTATTTCTATGTGCTTTATGAAATGTGGCCTATTGCACTGTTTATATTAAAAAAATTGTAGTTGTAGAATCTGTAATGCTATAGTAAGCCCATAGCTAGAGTTGTTCATTGTATAACACTATTAACAAACTTATTTTTGAGGATACTCTGTTTACCCCTCTCTAGCCGACTTCATGGCCATTTAGTTTAAAGTCACATAATAAATTGCTCCTGAAAATTAGTTGGTTTACAGTATGATGGAAGCTTTCTGATGCAGATGGCCTAATGTTTATTGTTGTATTATTGCCTTAAGGGACATCAGAAAAATGATAACTCTGTAATCAACGGTACCCAAAGCTACCCTTGACTTTTTTATTTTCTTCACCTTGGAAAACCAACACCTTTATTACTTCTCAGAAGCATTGAATAAGAATTAAAAACATTTAATGACTGAAATATAAAGAGCTTTTAAACCCACTTTCAACATGATTTACAGCTAAAACATAGCTTTATTTAGAAAATTCATGTTTGTTTTTCAGATTGAGCTTGAATGATTTAGCTTGAAAATTGCTCAACAAGACATTTTGACTTATTTGAAGTATTACTTTTGTATTTTTCTTTGTTTATAAGTAGGTATAAAGGTGTTGACAAAAGTACCGTGGCACAGTAAAGCACACATAAATGGGCCATAAACTATTATCGCAATTCATAAAGTCAAATATGGTTGTGTTTGTAATATGTGTTTAAGTATTAATGACAAAAGTCCATTATTTTATTGTGACCTACTTTGTATATGAATATTCATGTTACGTAATACATGTTATATAGATTTTAGATATATCTATATTTTCCTGTGCTCTGGAACTAAAAGTTTGGATATAATGCAACATGTATTTAATGCCAAACAAGTAATGTTTACTCTGAATTGTTTCCAGCAGTTTAGTTCAACCCTGGCGCTCGTCCTAAAGGCAAGGATCAAACCTCAGTATATTGAACAGATGTTCAACAGTTATTACTTTGATAGATGGTTGCTTTTCCTCATCATTAGACTGTCAGGTTTAAATATATTCATGCCCCTGCCATAGAGGAGGGGTCATTAAGTTTTACCTTTGTCTGTCTGTATGTCCGTCCGAACATCTGTACATCACGAAATTTGTTTCTGTTCTCTAACTTTAGTTTGCCTCAACCAAATGTTATGAAACTTATACACAATGCTTATTACCACAAAACACAGACCAAGTATGAATTTGGGTGGCGTCACTTTTACCTGTCTAGAGTTATGCCCCTTTACAAATGGAAAAATTGCTGGATATTTTCGTTTCCATTCTCTAACTAAAGTTTTCCTCAACCAAATGTTATGAAACTTATACACAATGCTTATTACCACAAAACTCAGATCAAGAATGAATTTGGGTAGCGTCACTATTACTGTTCTTGAGTTATGTCTCTTTATATCTTTCATTTGTGCCGTAAACTTCACTTGAATACCTATGGAAATTTCTTGTATGAGCCTTAATTTATTGTATTTAGATACAACTTACAATGAAAAAAATATTCAATCGTCATTAATGTAACCTGTTAAATGTAAAAATTAATTATTTATTTTTTTGTCACAAAAGAAATAAACCTTGTGGCATAAATGAAATAATGCATTTTTCCAAAATTGGCACAAATGCAGCGTGCCCTTTTTTGCATATGGGAAATGTATCTTTAAAGCTTTTCATTGGACTGACATATACATCTCTCAACTGACTTATCAGTATGATTTCCCTAGTCCATTACAGTATGGACTGTAAAATTTACCATTATTGAAGTAGTGACAAATTTCCTGCTATTAGATGACTATGCTTAAAAGGGTTGGCCTCAGGGATGTTTTAGTGTTAAACACAGCCAGATATATTTAATAGAAAACATTTATATCTCTCAAGTTTCAAAGAAACTTTCAAATTGAAATAGAGATTTTTTTGTAAGATACATTTTTATTCTGAGTTTCAGTAACTAACATTTTATTATAATTACATGAAAGACGATCAATCATAATTTAAAGTATGAGATTATACTCTGACCTTTGAAATTTATTTCTATTTGATGAATGTTAATTATTTGTTTGGGTTTTTTTTTCTTTAAATACCAGTTGGTAATATACATATATTATGTATAATTTTAATTCCTTTTGGAATTTTTTGTAAGAGATAATTTATTTTCATAAAATAAAATAAGTGTCTAATTCTGTAAAAGAATATATGTAATCATATTAAAACTTGGTTATGAATGGATAATAATTTAACTGAATTACTGAATTGAGGATATAATTACTTAAATGAATGAGATAAACTTTGCCTTACATATTTTTATCAAAATTTAATCAGACATCTGTATTTTTAAATAAGTCATCTTGTGCAAAAAATTGAATGACATGTGTCAAAAATCAGCAAAAAACAAATAATCAATACCTTAAGCAGAGTTCCTTAATGTCCATGATGTTCCTTTTGACATTCAGTAAAGAAAATTATCATTCCAAAATTCCAATGGACATTTAGTAATAATAGAAGCAATTTTCCTTGTTTTTTCGAACTTTTGGTCAAAAAAATACTTCTGCAATTTATTTTTACATGACTGAAAGAGTTTAACTGGTTTTGACTGTGTGTTGGAAAACAAGTGTTTTTTTGCAAACGACTTGTGTCAAACATACCTGAGTATCTATTTATTTTTCGTGAAAGGGGATTCCTAGATACTGTAAATTCAGATTATTACGTGCATTTATTATTGGGATTTTTGAAGAAAGGACAAAATATGTTATTATAATAATAATAATAATAATAAATTCTTTATTTAAAGAGGGTAAACACAGTTAGTTACAATAAAATAATCTTCCCTGAGGCCCTCAAAAATTCACCCAGTGGCATTATTTGCATTAAAAAGAACCTTGCTATAGTTCTGAATTTTCAGTATTTTAGTATACTAGGAAATACTCATTATATCAAAGGAACAGCTCTTTAAATGCTGTTCTGCATATTGATAGTTTCTAAATGCTTTGATTTCAATTTTCCAGCCAATTTCTAAAACTACTCATTACACTAGTACAATGTACTCAGATATTTTTTAATCTATATGCATACACCATGTAATTTGTAAGGATGGGCAAATTTATTTTCGAGAAAAATTATTTACCATCTTCATTAGTGAGCTAAATATCTTGTCCTTTACAGCAAGATCATCATATCATCAAGTGTCAACTTTAGTGCTACTAGCGGAGCAGGATCTGCTAACCTTTCTGGAGCACCTGAGATCCCCCATAGTTTGTATTGGGGTTAATGCTGCTCAGTCTGTTTTTGGACTTGTTTATCTTTTTGTTGTCTTTTGTTTTTTTGCCATGGCTTTGTCAGTTTCTCTTCAACTTATGAGTTTTAAATCTCCCCTTGGTATCTCCATCTCCTCTTTAGGGATACTCTGTGATTAACCTCAAGTACTACTGCGAATATTCTTGGATGTTCGCTTAAAATATCTAATTTATTTATAAAGTTTGGTGATAATTGCAAGATATATAAAACAATACCAAGTGCTTTGATACATGTATCACAAAACCCAAAGGGTTATTAAGAAATACAAAGGAAATTATACAAAAATGATAAACTCTCAAAAAATGTCAGTAGATTATAGCTATTTGAATTATAAAAATTTCAGTAGACAACTATTTGATTTATTTTTCAGGCAATACAAGCCCTTGGTCTAGTTATATACCAAGCATTAGATTATGGACTTGGGGACAATGAGGAGCGCCATCTGGGAAGAGATTTGGAACATCTTTTGGAGTTAATGATAAATCCTGATGAAGAAGATGAAACATTTAATGCAGATGACGAAGGAATAGAGAAAGATGCTAAAGAAGGGTGTACGTTTCAGGAAATCACAGTGGTAAGTTAATTGTATAGAGTTGAGGATTGATGCTCTGAAAAGTTCAACATTGTGTTGAATGAATGGTGAATAACTTTTGATAAAAAGAAAAAGTGAATGCATCTGTCAGATGTATAAAATTCTTTCATTACAACATGAAGGGGACATCAGGTAGAATAGATTTTTAGAAAACAGCGTTTGTATATCGAAAAGGTACATATCAGGAATTTTAGGGACAATCTATCTTAGGAGTTAGCTAATAGACTGTAAGTTTTTTCAGGCCCCTTTCCTATTTAATTTGAAGAAATATGACCATAATTTGGAACTCATTTCATAGTAACACTTATTTAGTTTTGTAGTCAACATAGAAATATTCAATATAGAATAATATGCAAATTTGTTTAAAAGAATCTTTTAAACAGTTTTCAGAAACTGAATATCATATAACAATACAGAATTAATACACTTTAAATTGAGATTGGACAAGTTTCAACTTCAAAGTTTTTCCCCTGGTTAAATTTCCTGACCCAAAACTGAAATTCTATCTTAATTTCATTCAATTTTGAATGAGGCTAAATTGAAAACTAGCCACACTGTTTGTTTATTTGAGAATTTACTATTCAAAAGCATATTGCATTACACCCTGGTTTTTAAAGGCAGTGCTTTAATGCCTTTCTAGTTGCCGGGTTAATCCTTCCTTCCGCGATATCCAACTTATCTACGTGGGGGGTCATTAGACTCCAAGTAGATCCGGAAATGTTGAATTCTCTCCTCTTCTTATTGCGATATAAAATGTTTTTTGTTTCATTTCATTTACATTGGGAAATAGAGAAACGATCATTGTGTTTTGTTAGTTTTAAAAACTTTTGATATATTAGTATTTTGCATTATAAGCAGTCAACCGATTGACAAACAAGAATTATTTGAATTCTGTGAAGAAAGAGCTCGGGTTAATTTCGAGTGTTATCTGCAATCTAGATGTTTATAAATCATTTCAGTCGTTGATATAATAATTAAAGGTCGACTGAACATGAATTATATTATACAATTTAAAGCGCATTTCTGTTTATGCACGTGAACCCGTCTAACGTTATTTTCGCAGTTATATAAAGTAGCAAATTATCGTTCCTGAATAGGTGGCGCCGTGGTAGCGGATCCTGTTCCTCTACTTCCGGTTTCTGCACTGTGCAACTATTTCAGTTATATTTTTAATTAACGATGCCAAGTACTTGTTGTTGTGTACCTGGATGTCATTTAAGAGGAGGACATGCATTTCCAAATGACTTAAAAAGAAGGAAAAGTTGGATCAACGCCATGGCCCATACGCAGATTGGACGAGAACACGATGATATCGTGGAGTCCATCTCAATCAGCTGTTGTTTGCAAGGCACGTTTTACTGAAAAAGACTACGTGCAGGAAACTATTCATGGTAAAACTCTATTTTCCTTGTGAAATATATAGTTATATATGTAATCGCCATGCGAATAAACCAAAGTCTGTTTACAACCGCAATTATCGTTTTAGAATAAAAGGGGGTGGGTAATTCAAGACGTCATAATTTTTTGGATTACGATTCAATGTGATCTGTTTGAGATTTTTTGGTGATTGCTACAATTATAATGATTTCTTACAAGAGGTATATCATACTGAGAATTATTTTAGCAGTAATTATGCTAATGTAGTAATGACAGGAATGCATAAGCTATGCCTCATAGACTTTCTTGAAAAATATCAATGACAATGTTAACAGGAACAAAATAATGACATGCTCTCATCTATATTATAGTTATTTAGGTACAAACAATGTACGTTTGTTGCATAAGTCTCTCATTGTTTGTCCTTTGGATTGACATAACATACATTGAATCAGGCAAACATAGTTTTATCCAGATTGTAATGAATAAATCTAGTTAATATTTCGCCAGGTAGTACAAAGTATACATTGCTAATGGAATTTCATTTAATTATAAAAAAACTAATGTTTTATAACCTTTTTCAGGGCGCAAACCCACCATACAGAGACTTAAGTCTACTGCAATTCCCAGCCTATTTTCCTGGACCAAGCAAGAGACTGAATCGTCCACAAAAAGAAAAATCAGGGCAGTTTCCTGTGAAAACAAAAGAACTAAACTTGATGAATATTGTAGTAGAAATCTAGAGGAAAGTTTTGATTGTAAAGTTGGTTTTCCTGAAGAAGTCATTCATACTGCAGAAAGGATTTATGACTGTCCACCACCAACTGCCGAGCTAATGTTGAGCTTCACAGATGGAATTACGCAAACACCATCAATGCCTATGTTTTCAGCAGAGAATTTTGAAATGAAGACACGTGACACAGCCATGCATTTTTATACCGGTTTAGAGTTGTATACTAAATTTTTATTTGTTTTGACCACACTTGGTCCAGCAGCACATTGTTTGAGATACATATATTTTCAAATTGATAGGGTGTCAGTTGAAAATCAGTTTTTTTATGACTTTGATGAAATTGAGGCATCATACAACCAACTTTGAACTGTCTAGATTCTAGATTGAATCTAGTGTTAAGAATATTGTGTATACATGGATTGTTTTTATGTCTAAACAGTGGTGTGAGGCTAACACTTGGCCATCTAGTGGTTTAGTCAGGTATTTTTCACCATCCAACTTCAAATTAAAGTTTCCTACGACTTGGATTATTATTGACAGCACAGAATATCCCGTGATAAAACCTAAAGCTCCTAGAGCTCAGGCAACCTTTTCATCAAATAAAAACAGAAACACTGAAAATTCTTGAATGTTCGACACCTGGTGGTTTAGTCAACTATGTCTCTATGTCACATAGAGCGAATTATTGGACTTGGCAAAACATACAAAATTCTAATAAATCCTATGAATGGAACTGAAACAAAACTTTCATCTGAAATAACATTTAGTTGTTTTATGTTGTGTAATTTTAGAACTTGTATTGTGCCAAAGGATGCATAAATAAAAGTGACGCAATGAATTTTGTTCTGATATATATATATTTACAATTACATGCACATGTAAATTGTAATGCATATAAAAATAAGGAGATGTGGTATGATATTCAGTGAGTTTATCAAACTAAAGTGCATAAGAAATGGGTTTAAGCAGTTACAGGTGTTACTGTCACCGTACAATCTCCAACAATGAGAAAAACTCGTACCCTGTAAAAAATTTCAGAGATCTTACAACTAAGTTTTGTTGTCTCACCTTGACTTTGGTGAATTTTTTATATCTGTTGATGTAAATATAAAAAAGAAGATGTGGTATGATTGCCAATGAGACAACTCTCCACACATGCACAAGAGACCAAATGACACAGAAATTAACAGCTATAGGTCACAGTACGGCCTTCAACAATGAGCAAAGCCCATACCGCACAGTCAGCTATAAAAGGCCCAGAAATGACAATGTAAAACAATTCAAACAAGAAAACTAACGGCCTATTTTATGTAAAAAAATGAACAAATATAACAAATATGCAACACATAAACAAACGACAACCTCTGAATTACACTTTTATAGGCTCCTGACTTGGGACAGGCACATACATGTACAAACAGAATGTGGCGGGCTTAAACATGTTAGCGGGATCCCAACCCTCCCCTAACCTGGGACAGTGATGTAACAGTACAATATAAGAAAGAACTATAAAAATCAGTTGAAAGAGGCTAAACTCATCAGATGGATAAATACAAATACAAGTGGACGTGGTCGGGTAGTTGTACATCCAAACAACAAAAAGACACTAAGTACAAATCTGAGAGTACTCGCAGTTACTGACAGCTAGTTCAAAGCCACTAACAACTGATAAAAAAATCTTGCATCTAAGACTAAATAATCAATCCGTAAGCTCCCTTTAGAATTTTATAAATTTTAGATTTTACATTTCTGAGTTATGGGGTTTTATTCATTAAAAAAGGGGGATTTTCCAGTCTTTGGACAACAACTCAAAAATGCTTTAAGCAGTTCACATGAAACCGTGGTGAATTATTTATAGCTATTGATGTAATCTCCCTATTGATTTTCATCAATTTCAAATATGACATTGAGAAGAAATTGAACTTTATTTGTTTATAGTCTGGCAACAGATTTATTAAGTATTGCACAACAGCACAGTGTATTGCACAACAGCAAGAAATCTTTAATTGAATATAAATTCAATTCATATAACCGATTTCAAGTTCATTGACTACATTTATTCAGAAACTATAATATGTCAAATATTTAATTACAATCCAAATTCAGACCTGTATCAAGCTTGAATATTGTGTCCATTTTTGCCCCAGCTGTTCAGGGTAGTACCTCTGCGGGTGTATCCAGCTCTGCTCAGCGAATCAGTTTATTTCTTAATTAAGAACTCCTTTTTATACGACCGCAAAAACATTTTTGTGGTCGTATATTGGTATGACGTTGTCGTCCGAAGACACATTAGTTTTCGCACTCTAACTTTAGTCATTTGTTAGTCGATTTTCAATGTAGTTGGAATTTCGCATCAAACTCTAACTTTAGTTTAAGTGAATGGATCTCAATGAAATTTTAAAATAAGGTTCAATACCACAAAAGGAAAGTGGGGATTGATTTTGGGGGTTATGGTACCAACAGTTAAGGAATTAGGGGCCAAAAATAAGCATTTTTGTAACTTCCAGACATAACTTGTGTGTAAGTGTATGGATCTCTCTGACATTGTACCACAAGGTTCCATATCACAAAGGGAATGCTGGGATTGATTTTTGGGGGTAATTGCCTCCAAATTTTAGGAATTAGGGGCCAAAAAGGGGCAAAAAACAAGCATTTTTCTAGTTTCATGACAATAACTTGTGTGCAAGTCTATGGATCTCTCTGACATTGTATCACAAGGTTCCATATCACAAAGGGAATGCTGGGATTGAATTTGGGGGTAATTGCCTCCAAATTTTAGGAATTAGGGGCCAAAAAGGGGCACAAAACAAGGATTTTTCTAGTTTCATGGCAATAACTTGTGTGTAAGTGTATGGATCTTTATGAAATTGTACTACAAGGTTCCATATCACAAAGGGAAAGCTGGAATTGAGTTTGTGGGTAAATGCCCAAAAAGTTTAGGAATAAGGGGCCAAAAATAAGCATTTTTCTAGTTTCCAGACAATAACTTGTGTTCAAGTGTATGGATCTCTCTGAAATTGTACTGCAAGGTACCATACCACAAAGGGAATGCTGAGATTGATTTTGGGGGTAATTGCCTCCAAATTTTAGGAATTAGGGGCCAAAAAGGGGCAAAAAACAAGCATTTTTCTAGTTTCATGACAATAACTTGTGTGTAAGTCTATGGATCTCTCTGACATTGTATCACATGGTTCCATATCACAAAGGGAATGCTGGGATTGATTTTGGGGGTAATTGCCTCCAAATTTTAGGAATTAGGGGCCAAAAAGGGGCAAAAAACAAGCATTTTTCTAGTTTCATGGCAATAACTTGTGTGTAAGTGTATGGATCTTTATCAAATTGTACTACAAGGTTCCATATCACAAAGGGAAAGCTGGGTTTGAGTTTGGGGGTAATTGCCCTAAACGTTTAGGAATTTGGGACCAAAAAGGGGCCAAAAAACAAGCATTTTTCTAGTTTCCAGACAATAACTTGTGTTCAAGTGTATGGATCTCTCTGAAATTGTACTGCAAGGTACCATACCACAAAGGGAAGGCTGGGATTGAGTTTTGGGGTGATGAATCATAAGGGGGTTCAAAAAATTTGGGGGGGGGGATTCTTTTTCCTTTTTTTTCTTTAAAATTTTCCATTTTAAATTGGTTATTTCTGATTTATATATAAAAGCAAATAATAATGATATGGTTTGAATAGGTAAATTAAATTTTTTTAAGTATCTTAGACCACTTTCATTCTGTGTCAGAAACCTATGCTGTGTCAAATATTTAATTACAATCCAAATTCAGTGCTGAATCAAGCTTGAATGTTGTGTTCATACTTGCCCCAACTGTTCAGGGTTCGACCTCTGCGGTCGTATCAAGCTGCGCCCCAGCGGAGCATTTTATTTCATTCATAAATTACTTTATGCTTGGAAATATAATTTTGCTTGGAGTTGAAAGAGTTGACACGTTGCAATGTACATTTACTCTACATAGTTCTATGGTACCAAATCAAAAGATTATATAAAGAAAGAAGTCAAAGGTTTCCCATCATAGTTTAGTTACATACATTTTTTTTGTACCTGAGGTCGTTGAATATAGATCATTATATAAATAAGGAGATGTGTTATGATTGCCAATGAAAAAACTAAGGATTTTCTTATCCAAGGAATAGATTACCTTAGCCGTATTTGGCACAACTTTTTGTAATTTTGGGTCCTCAATGCTCTTCAACTTTGTACTTTTTTGGCTTTGTTACTATTTTGATCTGAACGTCACTGATGAGTCTTATGTAGACGAAACACACGTCTGGCGTATTAAATTATAATCCTGGTACCTTTGATAACTAATTTGACTATAAACATAGATAAAAAAGGTACAAACTGGACATAATGCACTAGTTCATAAACAAGTGAGAACAATCGCCTTCATATAGTGCTCAGAATATGACATTCATAAAACTTATTCAATATCATTAGAGAACTCTAAATCTTAAATACTGAAAGCTACCTGTACTATGCAAGATAATGATATAACTGGACTTAAAATACACACAACCTGTAATTAACTGCCTTTACAGCGCTTTCGTGCTTTGATTAAGTGGGTGCAGCTCTGGGAAAACCCATTTTTGTCACAAATGTAATTTATATGGAAGGACAGGATATGGAAATTTTATACTTTATGCATTTTGAATTAGCCTGAAATATAAAATTTGTATAAAGCCCATAAAAATGATTTATACTTTGATAGTCGTTTTGCAAGCTAGCATACCTGTAGACCTAAACGATGATTCAAAGATTTGTCATACTATAAACATATGAGTAATCTGTGTATTGTAGTAAACTACCCCCATGACTTTAAAAACTGTCTGATTACATTAAATCTACCCTGCAATTGTTACACCTACCCTTCATAGTAAAGATTTTATCAAGATAGTTTGGTCAATCATCAAACATTAGGATTCTTATATCTATATAAAGACAGACAATGCCTGTCCGTCTGTTTGTTTTTAGATTCCATATGCAGATAGGAGTTTATTAAGTTGTTAAATTTCTCAATGTAGGGGGGTTTATTATGTGCTATTCAGCTTTATATCTGCATGGTATATGATGTTTTGAAAAATAATATTATATAATTTGAAAATTGGCATGCAGCACCAAAATTGGGTTGTTATTGTTATGAATCTAAATATCATTTTTACAAATATAAGTTTTTCAATGGGTCTCCAGCATATGAAGCATTTGTTTGTCAATATTTTTTGGCAACAGAAGAGCTTAGTTTTAAAATATTGTATAGTGCATTTTATTAACCATTTATGCATAATTACAAGTAAATCCAAGACCTACAATATCTGAAAAGATTAGAAAAAACAAATCTATCTTTTATCTCTTCTACTCAAAAGATTTATTCAAGTTATTTCAAAAACTTCAAAATCTTTTCATCAGAATGTTTAAATTTGGACGAAAATATTTTGAAGATATTTTCTACCAAATATAAGTGCCTCCTGAAGAGGGAGTGCATTTTTGATCTTTACCTTAGATCTCTTAACCTGAAAGGTGATCCACCTGTAAGTCAAAATAAGACAAATAATTTAGGTCACTTACACTTTCTTTACATGGTGTAAGGTGTACCTCTTTTAAAAGTACATAAAACAGTAAATAAAATTCATATTGTGGGAAAAATATTTCACTATGAAAAATTTATATTAATTTACAACATTGCATGCTTTCACTTCAATCAAAACACATTTATTTCTGTGTTATGTGATAAAATAAGTAATTTTTTTTCTCAATTTATTTACTTTTACATTTAGGTGATAATTGTGATATTGGTAAAATGATTTATTTTTTATGCCTGGATGGGT